AACAGACACAAAGAGAGAGACTGGTCGCTAATAACCCACAGCCACAACTCCTGTGGATCTGCCGATCAATAGCTCTCCATTTCAATTAGCACTCTGTGGGCATTAAGACACAGACAGCAGAGGAGATACTGTTGCTGGTAATATCATTTCATGATGCAGTTCTGAGAAAAGCTCAGATGTTGATCGATAATACGACCTGGAGAAGGGAGACGGATGGAAGAGAGAAAGAAATAAAAAAGAAAGAAAGAAAGGATTTTACACTTTTTATGGTAATTGTGGTTGTGTGTTTTGGCAGGATTGCACTCTGCTCTCTTTCTAATTTAACATTTTAAATGTAATTAAGACAGAGTAACAACAGAAAGATGGAGGAAAGAATGGTGAGGTGTGGTGGAAAGACTGAAAATCATGAATCATAAATATTCTATCACTGCTCTCACAGCATGTGTGTGTGTGTTTCCTGTTTTATAGAGCATGAGTAAAGTTTTTGAAACGTGATCATGTGTTTCTTTTTGAGCTTTATTTAATTAGGTATGTCATCTAAGAAAAGCTCCTGGCCTGAACTGACATCCTTTCAGCATCTCCTCTACAGGGAAATTGGCCTTAAGCCTATTTTGTTTGTTTGTTTTGTTTCATTTATTCATTTATTTATTTTCATTTTTACTTTGTAGCTTAGGCATATAGTGTGATGGATCTGGTTGCCCTAAAGAGTTGAAACAGAAAAAATTGTTTTAATAAATATGTAAAAAAAAAATTAAATTTAAATTGCGAACAAACGCTACATATTAGCAAGTCAGTGCTAATACCTAAAGCTAATTCATTTGACTTTCTCATTTTGCTATCCAGCTGTTGCTAAAATTAACAGCTAATCAGCAAGTAAGGCTATATGCTAATGCAAACATTAGCATATTGATGCACATTAGTACACTTACATTAGTGTAGTATTAAATTTGTTTAGTGTAAGAATTACATTTATTTTAGTGTAGCATTAAATTTCCTAACATTAGCATACTAATTCTATTGTTAGCAAATTAGTGTAGCATTAAATTTCCTAACATTAGCATACTAATTCTATTGTTAGCAAATTAGTGTAGCATTAAATTTGCTAACATTAGCATTTTAATGCTAATGTTAGCAAATTGATAATTCTACACTAATGTAATGTATGCTAATGCTAACATTAGCATTATCACACTACTACACTAAACTAATGTAATGTGGGCTAATTCTAATGTCAAATCCCATTTAGCTTAAAAGGTGGTATTGTTGCATATAAGCTTTACAATTCTATGCTAATACTTAGGTCCACAACTGATTAGTGTCATGTTCATAACAGATGTTTATCCTAAGTTAATGTTGGCAGGCTAATGCTCATGCTAACAGCTTTTTAAGTTAGAAATATTTCAGTGTTGTTGAGCATACAAAGGCTTAGTATGCAATGCTCCACAACTATATAATGTGATTTTTATAGTCTTTAAAATAGACTTGTAACACTCTTCACAAACAGAAATAGGTCTTTTTCTGCCAACAAAGATTCTCTTTAATGTATATTATAGATTTCCTATGAGTGTTACAAAAGAGAAGATCAAGTGTGGGTTCACAGAGAAATGTTTAATCATCATGTACTCTAGTGCAGATGCCAGAAATGAGCATAAAAATGACTAATTTTGGCAGCAGCTGGCACATCCAGGATAGACCACAAGAGACCCAAATGATGGCAGTCAATGAAAATGGTACAATGATGTCACCAGAGGATGGCTCATAGGTATAATGGACAGCATTAACACCACTTGGTAGTTTGTTGGACATTACATTTTGTTTTGTTTTTATGTCAAACTCTTTGTAACACATGTTGGTTCTGTATGTTTACAAGACTGTTTGTATTTGACCTGTTTAACATGTTTTCACAATCAGAGGAGATGCGTCTGCAGTCCATGATCATGTGTCTAATAACTGTATTTGACTATTACAATTATTAGACACTGTAATAAGTGTCTAGTAACACTTATTACAGTGTAAAAAGTTACTAGGATAACTACTTTATCCAAGTTGTTCAGTGCCTTAACTACTTGGATAAAAAGCTTGGCTATTCACCTAGAAAATGTTAAGTTATGCTGTTTTTCCACACTGCAGAATGACTGAGAAAATGGGCTGTCATTAAGAGAAATTATGACAAAAGTAAAACTTGAATTTCTCCCTGTTATTCAGTTTTTGTGTAAAAGATTACGTAACCGCTGCTTTTGTTTCCTCAGCACCAGAACTCTGTCTCTTTCTGTTTGTCTTTATCTTCATCCCTGTCTCCTCTGTATTCAATTCAAAGTACCTTAGCAGCATTAGAGCTGAAAGCAATTTTAAATGCTTATTAAAGATTAAATACCCATCCCAAAGATGAGTGTTTCCTCTTATATGTGTGCTTAAAGAGCAAAGAATTAGGAAGGGAAAGAAAATAAAAGGATGACATAGAAAATGAGAGAAAAGAGAGGGGAAAAAAAGCTGCAAGCCACAATTTATTTTTTGATCCAAACCAACAGCGACTGATGCACACTTGTGTGCTTTGGACACTTGTAGGTCACTGTGTGTGTGTGCACATGTGTGTGAGTTTGATGCTGTGCACTCAGCTGTGCAAGCTGGCTGGGAAATGTGCCGAGTTGACAGAAACACAGTGATGCGAGTGTGTGCTTCTGTGCGAGCAACAAGCTGCAGTTGCTTCGCTCGACATCTTGTTATATTTATAACGGTGGATAATTTCTGGAGTCTTTACGTGTTCGCCTTAAAGCTTCTGTTGCCGTCGCAGGTTTCTGCTCTCCGCCTCGCCGTCTGAGCGCCTGAGATCTCTTCATCTTACATTTGACCTTGCTACAATGTGAACCTAACCAGGCTGCACGAACACAATTACATGCCGGTGGTGGAACAAAACTCAGTCAGCCCTTTCAAACTGCGGTTATTTCCCCACTAGAGGGCAGAAAAGAGCTGACGGAGACGAAACCAAAGCACAAAATAACCCCATAAAGGGATTTAACAAACGATTGGCTGTTATTTTCATCCCAGTAAAGACTCATTTGTTCACTCACTGATGTTCGCTTCCTATCTGGCCTATTCTTTCTCAGTTTGACATATGGTGCTGCTTATCAGACCTTGTGTGCTGGAAACAGCTGCCTGCTCAGTGGCATAATAAATCAGCAGAGGGCTCCGCCACAAAAGATGGTCCAAGTAATTTCTATGTATCACAATGCCTCATAACATTCTTCTAACTACTTCTTTTTGGTGTTTGCTAAGCAGTTTTACTCTTGTGGGGTTTTTTTACAATTTTTCTACCACAAATCAACCTTAAATAATCGCTTTTAAACATATTTGGACCTAACATCAGGAAAGAAATCAGTGTGAAACCCATATTTTTGTTTCTTACAACATTATTCATTTAAAATTAACAAATAACTATTTTTTTTTTTTTTTACTTTCTGTGGGATGATTTCTTGATTTTGACAAATGTTTGCACTTTCATTTCATACAACTGGCACTGATGTGGTTTGACTCATTTCTCTCTTTATATTTCCCATTTTCCCTGATATTTTTGCTCAGCGTTGAAGAGATTCGTCAGCCTTTCCTCCTGCATCATATTTAGCCTGCAGAGTATCCAGGATTATGCAGCGTGTGGGAACCATTCGCAGTCAATGGGGATATGGAAAAATAAAACAGAAATCTTGGGAAAACACTTCCAGGGTCTGGATGACCATTATGTGAGGAACATAATAGGTAGCAGAACAACAATGCCTGCACACTGGTGACATAATCTATTAACAGAATCATTTTAATACAGTTTACTGCAAATATCTCGCTGTGATTATGTTTTTCTACTTAGCTGAACATAATATACCCTCTTTTGTGTACACAGTTTGCACTTGCAGTCTTAAATATACCATAGAGGCTTAATGAGAGAGAATCAGAAACATGTTTAAGTCTTTACAAGTGGCTCATTTTTCAGCCTGTTCTGTAAAAATCTGACATTTAAATCCGCACACATTGCTTATGCCTCTGGCTGACTCCGCAAACAGTGACACACTTTTTTTCACAAAGACTCTGTGAGTACACCAAAGTGTGAAATGTGTGAATTTTCCCATAGAAAGGCAAATCAGTCTGCAGCTCACAGGAGGAGGGATTGCTGCGAAGTCAGTCACTAGATGCAATCGCCTGAGCTCGGTTAGATAGTTCAGCTCTCAATGCACTTTGCAAGAAAAACAGGCCCGATTTATTTCAAATTATACAGCAACGTTGAATAAATCAACCAAATACAAAAACAATCCATTAGATTGAATAAGGTGCAGTCCAATCTGATCCTAAAGATACTCTAATTCAGATTACAACCTCAAACATTAGTCAGTTGCATGAAGTTATTGTCAAAACTTCTTATCCGTTCGCATTTGACTGTGTCTTGTGTTGGATTGATTAGTTTAAATATTTCTGGATCTGTGCATTGAGCTGAAATAACGTGTTTTGTATCGAACTGAGTTTGAATATTACAAATTGAAGCCATGCTGGCGCAGCAACGACCCAGGAATGATCCACAGCAGAGACCAACCACCTGGAATACACTTAGTTTAGCTTGCATGTAACTTTTTTTCCCCCCTCATCTGCAGATGTTAGGCATGCATTTCTCTGTGCACGTCTAAAAATACATCCAAGGGAAAAAATCTCCATGGGAAGTGGGAGTTTTTTTTTTTTTTTCCATTTATGTTTACCCTGAGGACATACCTTTGAGAATTGTGACCTCAACAAGGTCAACTTGATTTATTTACCCGATAGCCTTAAAATGCATACCTTAATCTCCAACTGCAAACAGTGATCTATAAATACTTTACATTTCACTGACTTGAATTTCATGCATATTTTGTGCTTTGACCCAGGTTTCCTATTCCCTCTCAATCAGTCATGACTAACGCTTTAGATCTGGGAGTGAAAAGTGACTGGTGTGTGTGTGCGTGTGTGTGTGTGTGTGTGTGACTAACCTTTGTCATGATTGTGGAACCGCAGACTGAGCTCCTCTCTCCGGCTGTAGGAGGTCTCCAGTTCAGCAGCGGAGAAGTCATCCAGTTTGACTTTCTTCACTAAGAAAGACCGAGGCATGGTGGGACAGTCACTGCTCCTGCGCTCATACGATTAACACACGCTTTTCTTCTCTTCCCTAATCCTCTTAAGTCTGCACCCAGTGATGGGAATCAGCTGATTTTTCGCATATAATTTAATCTCTTGGCTTCCTATAGCGTCGAATTCAAAAGTAGAGACATGATCTTTAGTTTTTCTCCTGTGCTTCTTTGTTTTCAGCAACAAAACTAAACAAAAATGTGTTTTATAGTTACAACTTAGCTCTGGAAAAGCAATGGAGCTCTAGTAGGTCATAAAGGAAAATATAAATGTCCGTTTTCTCCTGTTTGTTTGCTGTATGTTGTAGATTTAACTCCGTGCAGGTTTCAGCACCGGACAGCTCCTCTCCTCCTGTCCGATCCGCTCCGGCAGGGTCAGAGTCACAAACTGGCGAGGAAAAACAAGCTGAAAATCCAAAACGTGTGCCAACCAGTGAGGTTTATGTCTCTCAAAACCAAAATGAACAAAAGCAGGACGCGAGCGGCGAGTTGTGACTGTTTGCAGAGTGGCGGAAAAAAAAATTAGATTAAAAGGTTTCACAAAGAAAGCGGCCGAGTCCACAAAAATGTCTCAAAACCTTCGTGGGGTTTTAACTTCTCAGATGGCATCGCAGCTCCTTGTGAAATATTGCTTTTTACTGCTGGAAGACCAGAAACAGAGTATCGGATCGCTCCTCTCTCTCTGCCTTCCTTTCTCGTTACGTTTTTCTCCTTGTCGGAGCTGCAGCTCTCTCTGACGCCTGAGACCAGCTGTTGCGGCTTTAAAGGACGAGAGAGAGAGAGAGAGAGAGAGAGAGAGAGAGAGAGAGAGAGATTCTTTCTCTCCATCAAAGAAAAATAAGAGCATCTTGTCTTCTGGAACCAGCAGCGGTGGAAGTCGAGGAGTTGGTTTAATTAGACACCTTTAGTTCCTCACTCACGCTGGTTTTTATTAAAGCCAAACTTAAAAGTGGAGACATCTTTTGGTCAAACAAGCATTTTTCAAAAGTGTCGAGTGTTTTACATATTAAGTGTAAGTTAATAGCGATGAAGTTAGTGTGATGTGATCATAAATAGCTTTGCGAGCTTCATATGCACTGCACTAATTCCTGCAATATCTCCCCTTAACAGTAGAGGGCGCTACTAAGCATGTAACGCCGTTAAGCTAATATCTATTTGGGGATCTGATCAGCTTTATAAATAAATGTTTATCTTTCGGCACTAAGAAGGTGAATCTTTAAGCAATATTCCCAAAAGTAGATGCAAGAGGATAATTTCCTGCACAAAAAACTTTAGTGTCTCACTTTTTAAAAACTTTTTTGAAAAGTGATACATATATATATATATATATATATATA